GGGGATGATGACGACAGTGTCACGCAAACACAAACAACAATATCACCACAAGAGCCGTTTTACTTTGTATTTACAGTACTTTCGTGACGTACTACTTTCTTATATAGTTGCCACCCCTACTTCTGGACTGTGCGTCTTAAACTTTGGTGTCTCGAACGGCGTGCCGAAAAACTCGAAATTGGTTGGGGGAACCGTTTTCCTCGGTATTTATAGTACTTCTGCACACGACCCCGCTTTTACTCGATATTTACAGTACTGTTGGTGATGTTGGTGATGGAAGGTGATGAAATGTGTTTGATTCGTCGTGATGTTGGTGATGACATGTGTTTGCTTTTTGGTGATGTTGGTGATGAAATGTGTTTGGTTTTCGTGAGCACACAACCCAGCTTTTACTCGGTGTTTACGATACTTTTGGTCATGTTGGCGATGAAAGGTGATGAAATGTGTTTGCTTTTTGGTGATGTTGGTAATGAAATGTGTCTGCTTTTTTCGTGATGTTGGTGTTGATGATGTTGATGACAATGACGAAATGTATTCGGTAGGGGGGGTGGCTAGTAGTAGTAGTAGTAGTAGTAGTAGTAGTCGTCGTAGTAGTAGTAGTAGCAGCAGTAGCAGTAGTAGTAGTCGTCGTCGTAGTAGTAGTAGCAGTAGTGGTAGGAGGAGTAGTAGTAGCAGTAGTAATAATACTAGCGGTTCAGTAGTAGAAGTGGCAGTGGTAGTGGTAGTGGCAGAGGTTGTCGTAGTAGTGGTATTCGTAGTCGTCGTCGTAGTAGTAGCAGCAGCAGCAGCAGATGTAGGGCAAGTAGTAGCAATAATAGACCTAATAGAAGTAGTAGCAGCAGTAGTAGTGGTAGCAGTAGCGGTAGGATTAGAAGTAGGAGTAGAAGTAGGCGTAGAAGTAGCCGTAATAGTAGTAGTAGTAGTAGTAGTAGTAGTAGTAGTAGTAGTAGTAGAAGTAGTAGTAGTAGTAATAGTGGTAGCAGTAGCAGCAGTAGTAGTAGTAGTAGTAATAGTAGTAGTAGTAGTAGTAGCAGTAGTAGCAGTGGTAGTAGTGGTAGTAGTAGTAGTAGTAGTAGTCGTCGTCGTAGTAGTCGTAGTAATCGTAGTGGTAGTAGAAGGAGTAGTAGCAGCAGTAGTAGTAGTAGTAGCAGTAGTAGTAGTAGTAGTAGTAGTAGTAGTAGGAGTAGGAGTAGTACCAGCAGCAGCAGTAGTAGTAGTAGTAGTCGTCGTCGTCGTCGTCGTCGCAGTAGTAATTGTTGTTGTCATCGTCGCCGCCGTCGTAATAGTAGCTGTGGTAGTCGTCGTCGTAGTGGTAGCCGTCGTCGCCGTAGACTTAGTAACAGCTGGGGTGGTACTAGGAGTAGTAGTAGTGGTAGTAGTACTAGTAGTAGTAGAAGAGGAATAAGAAGTATCAAAACAGTAGCAGCTGCAGCAGCAGCAGCAGCAGCAGCAGCAGCAGCAGCAGCAGCAGCAGCAGCAGCAGCAGCAGCAACAGCAGGAGCAGCAGCAGC